GGTTCCTTTGGCGCCCAAGTCTGTGCAGTAGAGATTCGTTTGGAGCCCGAGTCTGCGCAGTAGAGATTCGTTCGTTTGGAGCCCGAGTCTGTGCAGTAGTGTTGTGAGGTGGAGCCGTGGTATAAAACTCCCGCAGACCCAATCAACCATAACAACAAGCCCCAAAAGAGAATATATAGTGTGTTGGATTGGTCCAGACGCTACACATCTTTCGGAAAAATTGTGTTAGAAGTGTAATTTATTTTTTTATTTAGACTCAAGTCCCATTCGTTTACATGGAGAGGGCGGGGTTTAAGAACTGTATTGCAGCCAACCACCAGGGGGCGATCAAAGAGCCCGCAGCTTCACTTTTCAAGACGTGTGAGGCACACTTGAGTTTACTTCTGTCTACAAAACTAACTTGACCATTTAAGCAAAAGTCTTTAAAGTTATCAGTCCGAACACTGGTAGTGAAACTCGTGGTCTTATCAAAATGAACTATTTTTGTGATTTTTAAATCTTTTCTCTTCTATTGGGAACAGTATTTGTTTGCTGGATAAAATATGCTGCTTTTTAGAATAGTTTTAAGTGGAAGTAAGTGGTCTGTCGTGTGCTGTGGAGGTTAGAGCAGTCACTTTCCTTGATTCCCTGTAAAGGCTGTATTAGGTGAGGCCGCTTGACGCCCACCGGGTCCTTATGGATGTTATTTATGGCAAATGAAGTGGATGTATAGCCACATGCTGAGGAGAGCGAGAGAGAACAGCATGTCAGCGTGGCGAGGACAGCGCACACTTACGAACAACTGACATTTCACTGACATTAAGATTGGCCAATTTGAGCAGTGTGAAGACTGTGAGGAACTCGCACACCATCAAGAGAGAAAGAGAGAGAGAATAAAAAACATGAGCAAGAAAGAGTATTTCAATATTTCTTCCAGCAGAACTGAAATGCATTACATCTGTTCATCTAATCAGACTTTCCTCATCACTGTTCACTTGATATATCACTGAATCCAGGTAAAGACAGGTACTTCCTTGTGAAAAAGATTTATTAAAGTACTTAGTACAATAATATTAAAGGGGTCCTATTATGCTCTTTTACAAAGTCTTGAACTATGCGTTATAGTCCAAACGAGTCATTCGTTGTAGTTTTTAAAAAGTGATTTCTGTTCAATAAAATATCTCCTTTTGAAGTGGGCTTTGAACTTTGTAACTTCGCAGATCTTTTTTATGCTCAAACAGTAACATTACAGACTAACTAAAGTTGAAAAAGTGAAAAAGCATAATAGGACCCCTTTAATGAAATAAAAGGCCACTTAAGCGTATTTAATGAGAGTGCACTTTCATGACTGTTAATAAGTGCGCTTGTTTTGATGTTGAGTAATGTACTAAAGCACATGTAAAGCGCTTAACTGTTGCATGTTGTTTGATATTACATTTAATTTATTTGAAATATACTAAAACACAGCTTCGTCATTTCAATGTATAACTGCCAATATATTTAAATACATGGCATACAAGTTTCAAGAGAAATGACTGTATACAACTATATTTAGTTTATCATAAATGCTTGCCAGTATATTCAGCAGTACTTTAACCATATTTCAATGACAACAGAATTATGAAATTACATGTAAAGATGTACTTAAGTCCTACTTAGGTCAAAATCACTCAGAAGTACAATTATCAATGTCCAAAAACATTACATTCAGTTTGCACACAAGTATATTCTTGTAAAGTATATTATTTAACAAGTACTGTTTGTAAAAGTATGTTAATGTGTACCTTTTTTTCACAAGGGATGGTCAAACACGTCCAATAAAGGAAATGTTGAGCAGGTGAAAGCTTTAAACTAGTTTGACTGTTTATCATCTAAATAATGATACATGAGGGTTCTTATAATTATTCGTACTGATTGAGTTGGTGCCTGTTTGTATTGGTTCTTATTAAAATGAATTTCTAAGCCACATTTCAGTCGTATCCGCCATCTTGAAAAAATGTTTCTTTCACTGAGCTCATCACAGTGCGTTTTAGTACGACGTGGTCATATTGACATCTCTAATCCAAATAAAAAAATGAGCATTAGTTCTGACACCATTCAAAATACTGATATTATTTCCCTCATTCCTCATTGTTCACTGGTGTGTCAGATAAGTTGTCTTTATATTTATCCCTGCAAAACGGTCTTTTCTCTATAAGAAATCTCTCTCATATCAATGATGTAAGTGAGACTGTAATACCTTTCTGTACTGATTGACAATGATTAATATTGACGGAGCTATATTGTGCAACAATCTGATGGAACTGAATTGTGCTCTTATAATTTTGAAGACATTTTATAGAATAATGCATTACCTTAAGCACATAGGATACAATTTCTCATCCTTTTAATAATAGTTTATGTGATTCAAAAATAAAACGCTAGTTTTTACTTTAGCAAAAGTTTCAGTATTTGCTAATATAGAAAGTAGATGTTGGAAACACAGGCTGAGAACATGTCAAAAATAGCATCTAACAACAGTTATTGTTAACACCATTTTGGTAACACTTTACTTCAAGCCTTTATGTAGAATGCAATATAAAGATAATGCACATTGTAATGCATTATATCTATATCTAACCAAATGCATTATAAAATTTGAAGCTTTGTTTTGTCGCGTGTTTTAACGCATTATACTTTCTAAAGGTGTAGCAGTGAATAGATAAGTATTATATTGCAATATAACTGTGTTACAATTATTTCTGGGGTTTACACAATGCATTATAAGGTGGATACAAGTTATAATTAATGCATTAAAACTACTTCTATAATGCATATTTTTACACATATGTAAATAAGGGATCACACCAATATTTTATTTTTTCATTACAATTGAGCGTCATATACAGGTGCATCTCAATAAATTAGAATGTCGTGGAAAAGTTAATTTATTTCAGTAATTCAACTCAAATTGTGAAACTCGTGTATTAAATAAATTCAATTATCCAAATAATGTTTAGTCCTAGAAAGCTATTATTATCAGAACACGCAAGCATAACATAGCGGTTAGCAGATCAATGAATGAGAGGGCAGCCTTACCTGAGTTGCCCATATACCACACACCATGTTACAGCACATTGCTGTTCCGATTCGCATGAACGGTATACGAGTGGAGCGCTGAGCGGAGCGCACGCATAGAACAGGATAATACGCAGAGCGTCACACCACGTGAAAGTGAAACCTAAGCGGTGAACTAATTTTCGGCAGCCGAAATTTCGGTGCATCCCTAATTATTGGCCACATCTGAAATGGATATTATGTAATAGATGCTTTTTTGAACATTTTAGCAATTTAAAAATATTAAAAAAGGATTTTTTTACACGGCACCCCTGCTCTCGACAGACGGCACCCCGGTTGGGAAACACTGCACTAGGCTACACAATCATGGGGAAGACTGCTGATCTGACAGTTGTCCAGAAGACAATCATTGCAACAATTCACTAAAAATGTTTTTTTTATTGGTCTTATGAAGTATTCTATTTTGTTGAGATAGTGAATTGGTGGGTTTTTGTTAAATGTGAGCCAAAATCATCACAATTAAAAGAACCAAAGACTTAAACTACTTCAGTCTGTGTGCATTGAATTTATTTAATACACGAGTTTCACAATTTAAGTTGAATTACTGAAATAAATTAACTTTTCCACGACATTCTAATTTATTGAGATGCAAAATCAAAAATTGATGAATTGAGTGAGGGTACCCAATCGTTCTTGTTGATAATACTGATAAATCTGCACTTCTCTGTGCTGATATGAATGTAGGCTGTGTGCACACGTGAGTCTTTCTGTGCTTCTGTCTGTGTTTGACAGCTTCTCCCAAACCTGGCCATCCACTCTTGGACAGAAGAACATGTGGTGGGTAGAATATTTCTCAACAGAGCTGATCTGATCAGACTTCACCTTTAGATTTTTGTTCTTTTTTAACATATTTTGCATACTTTACAGCATTTCTGGATGGAGCAGATTTTTCAAGGTGAGATTCTTCATCATACTTACATTTATATTTATACAAAATTTAAATTTGGGGCCAGTGAGATTCTTTTTTAAAGAAATGAATACTTTTATTCCACAAGGGCACATTAAATTGATCACAAGTGACAGTAAAGACTTTCACAGTGTTACAAACGATTTCTATTTGAAATAAATGCTGTTTTTGGAACTTTTTACTCATCAAAGAACCCTGGAAATATTAAGCAGCGAAACCTGTTTTCAACATAATGTTTCTTGAGCAGCAAATTAACATATTACGATGATTTCTAAAGGATCATGCAATGAAGAGTAATGATGCTACAAATTCAGCTTTGTATCGCAAGAATAAATTATATTTTTAAATAGAAAACAATTATTTTAAATAGTAATAATATTTCACAATATTACTCTTTTTACTGTATAAATGCAGCCCTGGTGAGCATGAGACTTGTTTCACTAAACATTCAAACCATAGTGTATATTCAAATACAAATCCAGAATGGTGTCTTTGATGGTTAGCTTTTTCGGTAAAGGGTTCGAGGATACAAAATATAATTAAGTCAGTATAACAACAATAAACATTGATGCAGTTAAGTGAAACAGTCCCTGCTAGGACAGAAACATAAGCGTGTGTGCTGTGTAGGTGATGGAGAGCTGCAGCAGTACGCCGATATCTTCAAGCAGAATCACATCACAGGACAGAGACTGCTGCTGCTGTCCGAGACGGACATGAGAGATCTGGGTGTGACGTCTAAAGGACACATCATACATCTCAAGGTACCAGGCTGCTTCCTCCAGGACACTCTTAAGTGCTAATGCACTAAACAGCTCTTTAGCACACATTTAAATGTATTGACACACTAAAGAGTGATATTTAAAATAATAACATTACTTTTGTTATTTATTGTGGCATTGATGATTATTTCGAACATTATACAGTGGTGGCCAAAATTGTTAGAACACCTGACTTGAAACATGGTTTGATTTCATGATGTTCATGAAACATGCAGATGGTTGCTCTGAGCACAGCAAATATCAGATTAAGTGAGTCGTACTGTTTTTATCCACTTTTAACTTTAATATTTGGTGTGTCCACTAGGGGTGTGCAATATTGGCAAAAAATAATATCTCGATAATTTTCTGGGATTTTATGGATAACGATAATTAGACGATATTTTGCTGAGTGTGTTATTGTTCAGGTACCTTAAGGACTGCCGTGGACAGCTGACTCCTTAAGTTTTTGATATTCTTCATATTCTGTGCAGTGGTCAGTTCACACTGATAGAAATTCATCAACTGATTTTTACATTTTATGGGCATTTTGACCTTTATAACGCCATGTTTTTTCTTAAAGTGTCCATTATCTTTTAAATACAGATATTTGAAATGATTTAAATAATAAAAGATACTCTGCATGTGAAATTAAAACCGCCAGTAGGTGGCAGCAAGTCACTGTTAATAAGTGAGTCATTGCGATTGAACGAATCATTTAAACGGTTGATTCATTCAGGAACGAAACACCGTCATGTTGCTCAGAGACACAAAACAGCGCTGTGGTTGTGTTTGGAATTATTTTTGTTGTCGAAATAGCGCAAAAACTGGTGATATGATATACCTGGAAATATGGTGTCTAAAACGTAAGTCTCTTAATTAACTTCTTGTTTATTGAACTGTTGTAAAAAACCAATATCACATTTGTAGTCATTGTCATTTTTGGAGAAAAAAACGGCACTCTTCGTGTGAAATTGATTAACTAGGCTATTTGAAGTGGTATGCATACATATATACATTTTCTGCCCCCATGTCTTGAGTTTGTGATGATTCTAAATGTATTGTAATAGACTGCACTCTAAATGCGCACGCGCACTAGTCTAGACTTCACGTAATGTATGCGTGCGCTCTGTAAGGCTCTGTAAGGGGGGTTTTGAAAGTTTTTTGCAAAATACTCGATAATGTCAAATCGCACATCGTTAAAACAACAATTAGGATATTATCGCAGATGATATATATCGCACACCCCTAGTGTCCACCTTTTGCAGCAATTACAGCAGCACATCTGTCTGGAATAGTGTCAATATATTTCCTGAGAACTTCAACACTATTGTTATCCCATGACTTCTGCAACTCGAGCCAAAGGCTTTCCTTTGAATGTACAATAGATCTGTCCAGTTTATTTTACAACTTCAAATTAGCTCGATGGGGTTGAGGTCTGGTCTTTGAGGGGGCCAGTCCATCATTTTTAATGTTCCAACACATTCCTTCCGTCGCAGGTAGTTCCTGCAATAGTTCGTTTTATGGTTATCGTAATTTCCAATTTAACAAAAACAACTGAAACCCTTTTAAATATGCCAAGTGTCCTAACAATTTTGGCCACCACTGTATTGTCACCAAAAACTTGAAGTTCTTGAACACTCTGAAGTTCGAGTTAATAGGAAAGAATCTTAGCAGGCTTCTACATGTTTGTAGATTTTCCAAATGCCAGACATGTGTATTTTGAATGGCACATGCTTCTCTGATTCAAAGTGCATGGTTAAATCCATCAATACAACAGAGTTTCAAAATACATTCTTAGCTCTCATGAGTAAGGTCACTGAACCAGCTAATCCACAGGGCAGCAAAACCATGAATAAGATCTCCTTATTAGCTCAATTTCTTCTGCTAGACAGCAATGAGATTGAATGGAGAGAAAACAGAGACGTTTACTGAGGTCTCCAGCATCAGATTGTCCTCTTCAGAAACCCAGACCCAAACATCTGACATATACAGGCGCATCTCAATAAATTAGAATGTTGTGGAAAAGTTCATTTATTTCAGTAATTCAACATTAATTGTGATTATTTTGGCTCACATTTAACAAAAACCCACCAATTCACTATCTCAACAAATTAGAATATGGTGACATGCCAATCAGCTAATCAACTCAAAACACCTGCAAAGGTTTCCTGAGCCTTCAAAATGGTCTCTCAGTTTGGTTCACTAGGCTACACAATCATGGGGAAGACTGCTGATCTGACAGTTGTCCAGAAGACAACCATTGACACCCTTCACAAGGAGGGTAAGCCACAAACATTAATTGCCAAAGAAGCTGGCTGTTCACAGAGTGCTGTATCCAAGCATGTTAAATGAAAGTTGAGTGGAAGGAAAAAGTGTGGAAGAAAAAGATGCACAAACAAC